TCTCTGCACTCCCCCTGGCTGCCTCTTCTGTCCCCGGCGGTGTCCCTGACCGCTCTTGCCCTCCCTGGGAGCGCAGGCTTTCCTCCTCCTCCCTTTCTCTGCCCCCCACGAGGCCCACCCTGGTGCTGGCCTCCTAGCCAGTCTTTTCCCAGCAGCCAGAGATCTCTCAGCACCAGGAATCTGCTTCCATCTGTTCCACTCCGTCTCTGGTGAATCCTCTCACCCCCGCCTCCCACCCCCGCACCTCTGGCCTGCACCCCAGTTCTTATATGCATAAACAAATACCAATATATCTTACAAAAATAAAACACCTCCTGCGGTGATGACCCCTTGACCAGTGGGAGAGTGTAAAAGATTACTTTGTCTCCCACATCCTTGTGTGTTTCCTCTGGGGGCCCCTTTCTCTGCCCCCCACATGAAGTCAGGCTTTCTGTGACTCCTTTCTTCACAGCTCCTCCACCGTCGCCTGAGGTCCCCTCCCACCTTGTCTTAGAGCGCCCAGCGTGGTGGTGGGGGTGGGGGTGGGGCAGGGCAGCCACAGCTCTAACCCACACGAGGCAGTTTCCTCTTCCCCTGACACCCAGCCCCTGCTGGCCAGGATGGGGAAGTCAGGTCCCCTCCGGCTCCCTCCCTCCTGCTCCTCTAGCTTGAGAACCTCTGCTGCCCAGGAAGGGGGTGAAGTGGGGGTAGAACTCGCCCTCCCTTCCTGCTGTGGCGGAAGGCGGCTCCTTCCTGGGGGACAGCTGTGTGGGGCGGCCCCACCTGCCCGCTGCACCCGGTGGCCTTTCTGGAAGTCTCCTGTAGCAATGACCCACAGGAAACTCATCTTCGCCTCTCCAGGTGGCTCTCTAGCTTCCTCGAAGCGCCCCGGAGGTGGCTCTCTAGCTTCCTCGAAGCACCCCGGATTTGGGATAAGAAGGCAGCCCCAGCCCTCGCCTGAGAGCACGTGGGACTCAGGGTGACAGCGGCTCCTCCCAAGTCAGTCTCCTCACACGCCCCTTCAGAGTCCCCACCGGCCTCTAGGCACTCCAGGTGGGCAGGCCCTGCCTGGCCAAAGGAGTTCTCCCTGTTTTCTTCCAAACGGGAACCAGCAGCAGCTCTCTGGGCGGCCTCATGTCCACTCTGTCCTGGAGCCGCCGTGGACTCCCAAGAGCCCGTCACTTGCCACTGGACCCAGCAAGAGCCCGAGTCCCCCCGCCCAGGGGTCACCGTCCCACGCGCTCTGCCTGGTGCCCCCCCAACTACCAAAGTGTGAGGGACAGCGCAAATGGCTGTATGTTGGCGCGGAGGAGGCTTAACGGGGATGGCTTCCGGGAAGGATGAGGTGCCAGATTGGCACCAACACAGCCAAACGGGTGGATGGCTCACCAGTGTGGACAGTGCTAACGAGGCTCCAGTGCCCACGGACCCGGAGACCATTTTCCAGGGCATTTCACCTGTCAGAGTCCAAGAGGCAGTCGGGGGGAGGGAAGCTGGGTTACCTGGGTCCCATAAGCCTTTGTAGGCCCTTGGAGCTGGGGTGCAGGCCAGAGGTATGGGGGTGAGAGGACTCACCAGAGACAGAGTGATGAGCCGAACAGGCAGATCAACAAAATCAACAGTGCTGACGGGAGCGGCGGGGAGACAGGAGCCGTCTGCTGCGCCCTGTGAGTCACCTCCCTGGCTGGGGATGGAACTCGTGCTGCAGTGGCTGTGGGCAGCTCACAAAGCTGAGACTCAACCTCTGTGCCACCAGGGCGGCCCCCTGGGTACATTTTGACATGAGGATTACCTGCAGGCCAGGAGGAGGCAGGGCAGAGAAGAGGTGTCGGGCCGTGCTAAGGGCTGCAGGGATGGAATAATGGGAGGCCAAGCCGGGAGGTTGGTGGGAAGACGGAGCCCGTGGACTAGGGGCACTGTGCCCCCTGGACCCCCGTGAGGAGAGGAGCGCCCATCACATCTGGGGAGAGTTCCAAGTTTGAGAGATGTTTGGACACCTGATAAAGTCAAGATTCGTTTACAAAAAGATGGTGTTTAAAATGTGTGCCCGACACGGGTGACTTGGTGATGGGAAACCCATGGGGATTACAATTGAGATGAAAAAAAAAAATGTACAAAATGATGTAAAAATAAACTATTATATTATTAAAAAAAAAAAAGTGTGCCTGGGTGGCCCTCCCTGATGGCGCTGCGGGTTAAATCGCAGCAATGAGAAGCTAAAGCCACTTCAGCATGAGTTCGATCCCCGGCCAGGGAGTGACCCACAGGGCGCGGCAGACCTCTCCTGACCTGCCCACTGCTCCCCTCAGCAGTGTACTTCGTCAGTCTGCCTCTTCTGCTCCCCACTCTGTCTCCGGTGAATCCTCTCACCCTCCACATCTCTGGCCTGTACCCCAGTCCTGAATGCATAAATAAATAAATCTTTAAAAAAAAAGTGAGCCTGGGCCTTCCCTGGTGGCCTAGGGGGTTCAGTCTCAGGTTATCACTGCCATGGGCTTAGTTCGAGCCCCAGCCAGGAAGTGACCCACAGGGGTGCAGAAGACCCCTCCTGGCTCCCCTCTGCTCCCCTCTGCAGTGGATTTCAGTCAGTCCACCTGTTCTGTTCACCCCTGCACTTCTGGCCTGCACCCCAGCTCTTCTACACAAAAATTAAAAAACAGAATAAAAAACATAGTCAGGAGAGTGAGTGGACAGAGAAGGGGATTTGGCCTGCGTCATCCCAAGGAGAGGACAGGAGAGCTGGAGGCCCCTGCAGGGGTGGGGGCCTGACGCAGCAAGTGAAGTGGGGTCCTTGCTGCAGCACTGGGGAGGAAGGTGGGTCAGGAGAGAAACTGCACGTCTGTGCTGCTTCCCCAAAGCAGCTGCTGATGAGGCGGGAGAGGCCTGCTGGGGCCTGTGAGCGCCAGTGAGCAAATGACTTTATGTGACAGGCTGGCAGAGTGAGAGGCTGGTGCTGCTCAGCGGGGCATGGGCCTGCGACACCGGCAGAAATGGGAGGGAGCTTCATGGATTTTCCAGAGAGACCGTTTGGGGAGCAAAGGCCCTGAGGCGGGCCAGCAGGCGTGCTGAGGGGCTGTGTGAGTGGGGCGGGGCGGCAGGGGTGAGACCACCGTGGGCTGGACGGGGCCTGGCCAGACTCCAGGGCCCGCTGAGGGCTTGCACTGAAGGCACAGCAGGCCAGCAGCTCTGGTCTTCACAGAACCCTGCTGCCGAGCAGAGAAGAGAAATGGAGCAACCGAGGCAGAGCTGGGTGAGGGGACGACTGTGGTCCAGGGTGGAGATGGGTGTGTTGGGTTTGTGCTAGTGGGAATAAGAAGAAAGGGACATTGACTGCATGTGATGCTTCAGTGACCTCATTTCGTCCTTGCACAATCCCGTGGGATCGGCCCGTGATGCGTTTTGCAGGGGTGAGAAGTAACTTGCTTAAGGTCACAGTTAATGGAAGCCGGGTTCCCAGCCCCTCGTTCCCCAGGGCCTCCTCCCTACGGTAATGGCAACAGGGACACTAAACCTGGCCTCGGGCAGTGCCCAAACAGCTTACCAGTCACGGAGTGCTTCTCCCACACGCACGACTGCAAGACCACTCAGGTTCAGAGAACACCCACGATGAGATTGATTTAGCCAACCAGGGAAAACAGTCGCTGAGGCCACACGTGGCCAGTTGGTTACCTCACCCCAAAGTGGTGCCCAGTGTTTTCAAGCCCTAAACAAAAGGCATCTAAGATGGCGTCTTCCCGCCCCCGAGGGCCGGGAGCACCGGCAGCCGGCAATAGCTGGGATGCAGCTCGCGGAGACAGCAGAAGACACACGGGAGATGCTCCGGAGCCGCCAGCTCAGCACCGGACAAGTGGCCCCGGACAAGTGCCAGCGACCGACAAGGGGCCACACACACGCAGCTCGGCCAGGCGGCGGCTCCAGCCCTCACCTTCCCCAGGGCTCCGACGGCACCAAACCTGGGAGCAGCTGCAGTCGCTCGCTACCTGCGAAGCTTCTGAACTTTCCTCCTCTGAGGTTGGCTGCTGGCAGCCTCTCCGAGGCCTTCAGAGGTCTGCAAAACCCTTGGGAGACCGGTGTGATGGGGCGGGAAGGCCCTGGAACGGACGAGTCTGAGACGAGCCTGAGGCCTGGCAGCGCTGACGTAGGGCTGCTCCTCAGCCGTACAGCTCCTATCCGCCTCCCCCCACGGATACTGCGTCTGTATTTCGCTGGGGCTCTCCATTCTCGCCGCACCCCACAACGGGCACCACCGTCAACGGCCTTGGGCTTCAGTCCCGCCGTTCCCCCGGAGTGCTGCTCAGAGCATGGCCTCGTGGCCACGGGGGATTGTGCCATGAAAGCTGTTGGGCAACACTTAGAAGTTCGGGTGCGGTTTAAAGGCCGAGCTTCCCTCCAGAGCAGCCTCCGGACGCTGTTTGCCGGCAGCCTCTCTCCTGGGCCTGGGTTCAACCTCCTGGCCTGGCCTGGCCTTTCAGGGCCATTTTGACCCAGATCTTGTAGTAAGCCTTTGGGCTGGCTCTCACGGGGCCCCCAGGGACTGGGGGACAGCCCAGAAGGCAGGAGGGACAGAGGGCCTCCCAGAGGCCACCTCAGGGCATAAGGACCTTGCGGCAGAGTCCTGAGGGCTGTGGCCTGCGAGCTGCGTCCCCAGGCCTGCAGGCTGCTCAGCAACTACTGCCTGGAGGGTGACCTAGGGGGTCAGTGGTCGCCACAGGAGAGCCAGGCACAGAGGGTGGGGCTGGGTGGGACAGCAGCTGTCATTGGTGCGACCAGAAGCCTGAATTAAAATGCCACCGTTTGATGATTTTTCTTCGTCCAGCTTCTGTAGGCAGCGCCTTGGTCATCACCCAGAGTGGCCACAGTCCAAACGCTGGCCTCCTGGGAAACTTTCAGGGACATAGGAAGTGGGCTCCCTTACCCTGGCCGCCCCTTCCTGGCCTGCCTGTGGCCAGAGCCCTGGAGACTGGTTGCCATAGAGATGGGGGTGGTTCCAGGGCAGGTGGGGGTGGGGCAGGACACCAATAATGTCAGACACCCACCAGCAGTTGCTCCAGACCTCCCCCGTGGGGCCGGGGCAGGACCCGCAGCCCCAGGCTCAGGGGGCCACAGCCGGGCTGCTCAGGCTTCTGTCCGGCCTCCCCCAGGCGGAGCAGGTGCGGGAGGGGAGGCCTGGACCTCCCAACTGCCCCGAGGGTAGGGGGTGACTGGGCTGTGGGAGACCTGGGAGAAGTCAGGAGCCCAGAGGGGCAGGGTCGGGGGACATGGGAGGGGCAAGATGAGGGTGCTGCCGCCCAGGAGTGACTCCCCAGCTTCCAGTGGGGTGATTTAGGGAACATCGAGAAGGGGCCTTTTGGCTTAGCAAGTCGGGGCCCTTTGGGGTGTTCAGAAGAGTTTTAGGGCCCCGGCATCCCCCCAGCCCCCGCCTAGGGGCATGCAGTGGCGATGCATCTGAGCTCTGGGGACAGACTCGGTGGGCTGCACTAGGAGATCTCAGCCCAGTGGTTCTCTCTGACCTCCACGTTCTCATCTGAGCGCCCCACTGCACCCCCACCCCAGGAAGGTGAACGTTCACACAGAAGGCCTGGGCCCCCCCGGAAGTTTCGGTCAACAGCAGCTGCTGCTGCTTTTTTAAGCTGTATTTTGTTTTTTTATGCCTACAAGAACTGGGGTACAGAGGTGCGGGGGTGAGAGGGTTCCCCAGAGACAGAGTGGGGAGCAGAACAGGCAGATCGACTGAAATCCACTGCTGGGGGAGCAGCGGAGAGCCAGGAGGGGTCTTCTGCGCCCTGGGGGCCACCCCTGGGGGGATTGAGCTGGTGTCGCGTGGCTGCGCCAGCTTGGAAGAGCCGTGGCTTATCCCTGCGCTGCTGTTTTGCTATGAAGACTTGAGGTGGGGTGGTTTTAGTGGCCACAGAGGGTTTGCGTGGTGGGGTGAGTTGGTTTTAGTGGCCACAGAGGGTTTGCGTGGTGGGGTGAGTTGGTTTTAGTGGC